AACAAGACAGTACGGTCTCATATTAAATTGGTAAACTATTGGTGTAGATACAATGTATATAGAGCATTTAACCGTCCAGCAACTTTAGTTAAAATAGAATGATGGACATCTTCTGGGTAACGTTCCAATACAATGTAAAATGGTGTCCTTGCATTCGGTGTTCTGTTCGTCTATAAATGACTGAAACTCGTACAGGCTATTGTCAGGTTTATAACCATTATGATTGATCGGGGGAAAATGGACGATATATCAGATTACGTTATAGCTATTGTTAATAACTTGGAAAAAACGAGAGTGTCTCGGTACAGCCGTAATATTAATCAATGGACTGTCATTAATTTCTAGGCAGGCAATATCTGTCTCGGGACAGCAAACTGTGTATTTTCTTTCGAGAAATAGTTCAGACCTACAGACTGACTGAACGAAATCATTAACCATAAAACTCTGATTAGATGTCACAGATACTTCGTAGATCTTTGTTGACTGTCGTTGAAACGCTGAACCCAGAATTATTGTCTGGAGAGCCAGTAACTACAGATTCCAATACCCATAAAAATGGACTTTGATGTTTTCTCGCAGTATGGTCTGATGTTTCCACGCTAGACAAGGTACTTTTAGTCACAATGACTAACAGCCAGAGTATGGTTATTTCTAGTCTCTATCATCCAGAAAATATTCTACGAATATTAGTCTGGATGCGTTGTCAACATTTGAGAATAATAGGTCATTGGCTAGATTATTTGGTCTTGTACATTATCGTAAACAAAGTTTAAGGGGGGTAACTTGTCCCAAAACAAGATGTTGACGCCAATGAAATTAATGCAAGAATGTCATTTGAAAAAGTCCATTTGATTGCAGGCCAGTTCAATATCCAACACCATTAATTTTTTCTATGGGTCATATCTATGTTTGTTTAAATTAATCCTCGTCGCCAAGATTCATGTTTGTTTATATTAATGCAAGAATTATGGGATTTATTGCAGGAAGGTGCGCAATTCTTACTTGTCAAATACTGACAACGGTCCCAGACTAGGAGGTTCTGGGTGATCGAGACTAGGTTATTTCCTGTTAGATAGCTACCATTTGCTTTTGTGTTTTAAAAACCCGTAAGTTTAAACATATTAATTTTATGTTTACAGAAGAATGGTAGTCTACTATTAAGAAAGATTAACCTTAACAATGCTAAGCTGTGTAGACGAAACCAACCCATAGTTTGCAGGGGCATTTAAACACATGTTTAAGAAACAGTGCGTTCTGTATGTTACAGCAGCATATTGGTGCACTGGATAATCAAAGCCAGAATTTCCAGTATCATGGGATTTTATTGGTGTATTGATCTGAAGTCGACCAATCAGAACCTGCGCATTGTAAAACGTCTCAAGTACAAGGTTAAGTGAAGTAAAGGCCGTAAAATAAAACTTTTAATTAGAATATCTATACAGTACGATATTAAAATTACTGTATCTATTCAACTATAAACATCGGAGATTTAATAAAAACTGACCATAAATTTTCATAAAGCATTATTTAACGTGGCTAACAGTTTAACCATGTATCTGTAAAGACCGGAGATTAACCATTCGTATTGCTAATGTTTGCTCTAGCTATGATGAATCGAGTCTACACCACCGGAACCAATTCAACACATTCGCTCGAACAGACGTGTATGCAAGTCTAAATGCCAAATTACGCCACATACATGATATAATGTATTTATGCAGGTTTAGATATGGAGTGTAATAAATTAAATCTAAAGTAGTTATAAGTTGCACTTAGCAACCCAGTGATCACAAAGAATATCTGAACGTGCCATGTTGTCCCGGGACGCAACCGCGCAATGATTTAGAACTAATGTAATAATTTTAATTCAAATACCAGCAACGAAGGTAAACAAAAACAAGAATGCATTTTAATTGGTAGAGTATCGTCATTAAATGATCATGAAGTGATATAATCTATTTTATTTTGGGTACAAAACTAATTTACAAGAAAGCTGAAGAGGTGGAAAAAAAATGGCAGAATGATTTAGTACACTTTAAGTTGGCACCTGCTTTGATCATTCAGTTTTCGAAAATTTATCAGTTCATATTTCACTTTGAGTTTCCTTTCTTTTGCATGTGACCCCCTGTATCCAAATAGCATTTGCCACATAAAATCCACAATTAAAAAAAGGCTTCAAAGTAATTCTTCACTTGCCGAGATCGTTAACATTTTGGAACTTGCCCTTGATCTGTTTTTCTTCTTTATTCTTTGTACTTTTGTTGTGACGGATATGGAGATTTTACTGAGTTCAAAACCTTAGATAATATCCAATTAATGGCTAAATTTATTAATTGTGTACAGAATAATGGCATTACTCTTCTAAGTGGTTGTTGTACCTTATGATTTGTAGTAGCAGTTCATATTAATCTGTCTACATCTTTTATGATCAAAAACTTAATTGGATTGGCACACTGTCTATGTCATTATGCCCTATGTCAAAATATATATATAAAAGAGCAGCACGAATCGAGACAAAAAAGAATTAATGAATTCGAGCGCGCGTTTATTAGTACTGTCTCCGGCTTAACCTCGTAGGCTTTTCTCCGGGTTTTACCACTTCTGCACCCTGCTATCCCCACATAAAAATACGGCATGTTAGACGCAAATCTTATTTATTTTTTCATTGAAATGCTTGTTGCTATACACTTTTGATATTGAAAGATTTTTTTTTAGAGGGAGAGAAAAATGAGTGTAAATTAATGTTCTTTCTGTAATATTGAAATAAACGCACGATAGATAGTAAGATCGGAGCAGTGAATCGGAACCATGGAAGCAAATTATTTATGAACAACGAACAGCACGTTGATATTATGGAGCCATGTTGAATTTATGAGAACATTTATAGCACCTGTTCAATTTTTAAAGATTCTTTAAATTAAATTAAGTTTGATGAGACGTAAACATTATCCTGTCTATCGGAAATGTTGATAAAGCGGATAAGCGAATTTTATTGCACATAATCTATTAATACGTCATCGCGATTTCTTCTTGCCCTCACTCTTGTGTCGCCACTATCTTAGCAATACTTTAAAATTGATTGGGCGATAACTGTTGTAGTGAGATAACTTCCAGATTCGATATTTGATTGGTCTCAGATGGGAAGTATTACTAGAATTGTTATCAAATGACTAATATGTACTTTCATACAGTTGGTGAACCTATATGCTTAACTGGGAGGGGTGGGGTGGGCGAAGATGGTGTTGATTATACTTAATGTCAAACCACACCCCTTAGCCATGCCCCTACCCACGCGCTCCCAGCTCCGTGGTACGTATCTACATCTTGGAATCTGAAGACTTTGTATTCCAATAGGAATATTCGACATGTTCCCCTTAAAGAGGCATTGGAGCTTTTGGTTATTTTTGTTGACAGGTTAAAAAAATAATGTTCAATTTGACGTGATTTGAATTACGGCTAAGTTGTAAATAACATAGGAGTCGATTCTGCAGAGTTATCGGCGATATACAATTTGTTTAGTATGCTTTAATGAATGCTCGTGCAAAAACATTACCTGAAGTAGTCGGTGTTTGGATTTTAGATGATTATGTTACCCTAGGCTTGTTTTGAGTATGATATTCAAAATTAATTACATTTATTTTCTTGGCGAGAGTGAGCATACTTCTTTAAATCGCAAATCAGCTGTTCTTAATTCGATCGTTTACCAAACCATCGGGATATTTGCGAGATACTTTCAGATGACGGAACAGTAACTCGTAAATTAAATCATAACATCGCTTGTTATATTATGAAACAAAATGCCCGTAAAACTAACCTATCAGATAGTGTTAGTTACAATGTTGACCATATTTTCATTAGTGTGTTATTATGGTGTCTGGTAATGAGGGACTGTAGACACCAGATACCAGTGAGTTATTTTAGTCAAAGGAGTGGTTTATTAATTCAATTAGATACTATTTAAGGATATAAACAAAACGAGCTGGGTTCTTTCACATAATGTATACACAATTATTATAAACAGACAGGTTTACAGATAACAATGATGTTTTAAAAAAGTAGTCCAAGATTCCACTGGGGAGCATTTAATAGACCAAAAGGTGTGTAAATCAAAGCGCATATTTGCGTTGTTTGATAATTTTAATCAAAATATTGTCCCGTTCAGAATAGGCTCCTCTGCAACTTGTTTAAAGCTTTCCATTCATCAATTGTATGAAATGAAGTAAGATTTAATGTATTACTGTTCTGCTCTAGTCTTATGTCGAATTCCAGCTGCCAAAGTGTCTTTTACGTGCACGCAAATGTGTACAGAGGACTTCGGTTTTTTTTCTCATCCGAACGACTATAAGCTGTCCCTTGCCAGAGTATCCGTCCTGCTTCATTGACAATAAAGAGAACCACGTCAGGAAATTCCGATGAACTTTCTCGGTCAACACAAGGATCGAACACGGGACCTCCAGGTTTGCGATCCAGTGGCTTGATATCGCTCTTTGGCTTAAACACTTTTCAAACCTAAAACTAAGCTAAATACATTTGGTTTTATGCCTAGATGTTTTAAAAGCAAACGTTCACCCCACGGTGAACTAATGGAATTCCAGGGTGAGGATTAGCGATTCGATTTATCTAAACGATCTCAAAGGTTGGAAGGCATTTTGCATTAACCCTTTAAGTTAACGTCGGGTGTTAATAAAAATGAAATGCGGTTTAACGTCTTACTGTTCTGCACAACTAGGGTTTTTTCTGTCTTGATTATGTTTGACAGTAATCCTTCATTTAATTCTAACAGAAGGGTAATATCTAATGAAGAGTAGCATAGTTTCGGTAATTCCAAAAACATATTACCTCGATCACATAGAATGGCAAAAAACGGCACGGTTTTACATATTATACATAAGTCGTGCCAATTATTTAGCTCTAAATCATAATATTCATACATCGTAAGCCAGCATAGTACGTTGCCTCTAGTAAACATTGAACTATGTTAAATATGTATGTATACTTACACCTAACACACTACCCAGTGTAGCACTCATTTCTTCCATAGTTTCATTATATGCAACTAAAGAGGTATTTGTACTTTCTTCACGATATGACAGTCTTTTTTCCATCTCATAAAGTTCTAAAAACCATATAGCAGGAACAATACACATCAAATATATAAACACACTTGGACAAAACCTGGAATGTGATTTTGAAACAGTTATTTACATGTATATAGTTTGTTACATTTATGTTATTAACTCAGCAATATACAAATAACCTGGAATTGTATTCGATTGCAAACAATTTTTAATTTGGTTTTTGTTTACTTTTAGCTTATATTCCGTATTTTATATTTTACCGAGCTCAATTTTACCTAACCCTCGACACGTTTCATCTTAATCCGTGGTGTTCTTGCTTGAGTACCGTAAACAACCAATTTTTGGTTAGATGTGCCAAGGACGCCATGATACCGCCAAACTGACCAAAGTCAAGTGCATAACGAGACCGACGTCAGCCTCCAGAAAACGAGTCGAAATGAAGATACGCGTACTTAAAGATACATTATGTAAGATTTAGATAAAGAGCTATCCATTCTTGCTATAATAGTTCGAAACTAGATAATGTAAAATCAATAATTTGAAAATTTCATTCAAATTACTCTATTGCGAGCGAAGATGTTAGCCTTTGACAAACTTTCAGACTGTGAAGGTTTGACAAGACATGTGCAATAATTTATTTTTAGTTTATTTTGGGGGATTTTCCTGAATAATTACTTGCTTTTGATCAGCAAACAGGAAAAAAATCAAATTAAATCAACTGTAATGGTCAATTTATCCAACTGAAGTATAGCGCCATCGTAATAAAATTGATGCTTGATTTTGGAAATATTGGCCAAAATATTAGCCTCATATACAATTTATTATTATCACCACCAGAATCAATATTGTAGACCAAACTGTTTTCAGTAGAAATGTTTTATCAGGTGATAACGTTTTAAGATTATTGGTAAGGACGTGAGATCTTATCGGTTAACATTACAATAACAAGAACTTTCTCAGATAACAGATAGTGCGTTTTACTGACAGGAACACCAGCGTATTGTTAACAAGTATGGTGATGATACACGTTTAACGATGTAAATCTTAAATTTAGATAACTACAAGGAAATGTACCGCCCCGGATAATTTCTGTTATCAGAAAATTGAAAGTACCAAATCAAGTAAACCAATGCAAATACCAATCTCTCACTTAATCAGAATATTAATCGTTTAGTTATTAAAATTTATCACCCAAAGACATATTCTACAGTATCGCTTTTTTATATTCTACTGAGCGATATTGCTTTACAAGAATCTGACTTAATTTCGCTTGTAAGAAAGAGTTGGGTGATAAATACAATCTTTCTACTCGTCTGTTTTGAGAACCAAATAGTTTGTGATTTATAGCTATCAAGGTCTTGACACTTTTAAATTACATTGTGGGCGTACTTACAGTAACAATCATAATACTTCTTAAAATATCTGTTTTTGTTTCACAAGTTCATTTATTTGCGCTTCGCTGCTATATCATTCTAGATAATGCTACTTGTGTCTGACCTACTTGTATGATACGCCCACCTGTGACGTACCTGATGAGATTTCATTCTAACGGTATAATTTTTCTTTTTTCTTTTCTTTTTTTTCTACTTTCAGTATTTTAAGGGGGATAAATATGTATAAAGTCACTGGAGCAGTAGGTTCCGGAATGGAATAAAAATATGATTGTTTATTATGCAATGGCAAGGCCAATGGGATGTTTATTTTACGTACCATTTCCATTCTTTTCCGCCTTTTAAGCCTAAGGTAATTGCAAGTTCCACCACTAATAATCCAAGTACACACCCTAGATACCAATATTTGTCGTCCTTAGTAACCAAACACACGCGCCATATTGTAAGCATCCCGTGACACACAAACAAAAGACGTACAGTAATAGCCCGTGCTATAGACAGCAGACTCATGTTCTAATATACCTCACCATTTATCACAGATCTGAAAAAACAAGAAATACACTTAATGTTGTAATTATACAGTAAGCTACCGGAAGGGTGGGGAATTGGTCGGATGTTTTGGGGGCAATTACCTGTAATTCTTCTAAACAATTGGCGTTTCATTTATCAGGAATGTATACAAATTTTCAAAAAAAATAGCTAAAGATGACATGACAAGATTATCAGAATCTTATACAAAAGAGAAGTTTGGTTCTCCACAACCATTCTCTGCAACGTTGTCATACGTGTGATAATGTTGTAATCCATGCGATTAACATCTGGCAATTTCGTAGGCAGCAATCTTAATATAGTTTGTAAGTGAATTTGGTGGTGGTGGTGGAGAGGGGGGGGGGCAGTAACACGATTTACCCAATGTCAACTTATATCGCATTTTAATTACCATCCTGTTTCCTTTTTAAGCATTCCTAATATGTAATTTTGGTTACAATTTTAGCCTCTTTTTTATTATTGCTAAATTTGGGGGGATTAGATAAATTTTGCCACCTAAGCAATCGTTCCTGAATACTGATCCATGCAACTATATATACATAAGGACATGGGTGCCGGCAGCATAAGAACAAACGCTCTCTCGGTCCATACATATAACTGAATATTGTTATAACTGAATCCTAAAGGTTGGGTATATCAACAAAGCGAAAACGGTGCCTTAAAGATAGAACATTGGTCAACCACCTTTCTAGATCTAAAACTGACGACACAACTTTTAAAGATGCATAATATAAGATCTAAATCTGCCTATTGCGGGACTTTTTCTGGCTACATATGTTATTTAGATTTTTATTTAGACATTTATTTACATGCCACTCCCATAATCAACTCTCTAGTCATCGAATTACTATAATATTGAGTGGATTAGGCACTAAACCGATTCAGCTAAGGTTTTCAAGGACGTCAAGTGACCCGAATTGGGTGGTAAACGTTATAACAAGATGGTGTCGCCTTCGTTTGTTCTTGTTCCGCGATATAGAGGCTAACGTAACCTTTTGTGTAAACAAAAATAATAGGCCTATCCTTTTAATTGACTAGCCTGGCATAACCCACCTTCGTTTGTGCTTCAGCAAGGATAACTTACCGTATCGTATTGGCCTATTGAGTATTGTTACTATTGTAGGCCTACAGTGTTTATAATATATCAATTTTTTACACACAATTTGACTTATTAACTGACTAACCTAGCCTACCTGTTCGACTACGGTATTTAATAAATATGTGGATATGTGCTTGACAATATATTAATAATATGAATTGAATTTATTATTGTTGTTTATTTGAGTAGGCCTGGACTACTTTCTTCATAATAATGCTCCATTTTTGTTGTGCGGGTGGCTGTACAAACAATTCTGAAGACAGAGCAGATCTTTCATTTTATTCTTTACCTCTAAATAATAACACTCTACTTAATACTTGGATCACTAAAATAAAAACAGATCCCCGTTTCTTCAATATAACAAAACACACCAAAATATGCAGTGTTCTTTTTTTTGCCCCATGTTTTCAACGAGCCCGATGCCAAGAAAAGGCGTTTGAAGAAGGATGCGGTGCCACAACTTTTTGAATAGCCGTAATTCAAAGACAATACAAAAAGGAAGATGAAGCTTCAGAGGGAGAAGGTGACCATTTAACAAATAACAAGCAAAACAGAAACATTCAATGACGAATTTTATTTACACGCTCCTTTACCATGTCATCACAGGTGTTCGGTATCTCATCTGTTATCAAAGTCTAATACTTCAACTAAACTGTTTACTCATTCCACTGGATTTAATTCTTATGATGCCTTCAAGAAGACTCTTTTATTTTTAGTTCCTGATCTAGACAGGAAGCATATAATCTATTGGGATAGTGTGCAACCAGGAAATTGAGAGGCAATGTTACAGGATTTCCCGAGAGGGGTTCACTAAGTCCGCGGGTTCACTAGTCCGCCGCTATAAGAAATACTATAAATATGGTTATCAAAAAAACTAATTCGAACCCTGACCATAACCCTAATAATAGATATCGGTGGACTATGAACCCCGGGATGGTGCACCTTAACCCTAACCCTAACCCAACCCCTAATAATAGATATCGGTGGACTAATGAACCCGCGGACTAGTGAGCATCCCCCGATTTCCCCATGCCGACTATGGACGATAATCCCTCAAACTCAGGGCTTTTTAAAATTAGTCCTATAGCCCATAAATTACACTGGAAGATGAATTTTTACTCAGTCTTCTCAAACTGCGAATGGGATTATCACGCATAGATTTGGCCGAAAGATTTTGTCTTTCGAAAGGTACCATTAATAACATTATTATTAGTTGGATTAATTATTTATATCTCGTAGTAGGTAGTTTGAAGATATAATTATTGAACATACTTCACGTGAATTATTAGAGCAATATCCAAATAACTTAGTTATTATTGATGACACAGAACTAAAGTGCAAGTCCCTAGTGCCTTACAGAAACATAGGTGAAATTTCGAAAGGCGATGGTATTTTTGCAGAAAAGTGGTTCGAAATTGGAAAAGAACTTGGTAATCTGGGATTGCGATTGAATATTCCACCGTTTCTTGAAGACAAAGTTGGATTTGACAACATCAAAACTCAAACTATTACAAGGCGCCGAATTCATGTCGAAAGAGCGATTTGTAAGATCCGTAGATTTCGAATTTTGTAATTCTGTTATCCCAATTTCAATGTTTGGTATCATTAACCAGATATGGACAATTGCCTGACTTCTTTCTAATTTCCAAAACCCAGTTCTTAATGCGGAAATGACCGAATAAATGGACAAAGAAAGTTTATATCATAAATTTGTCGTATATTATAATAGACAAAGAGTTAAGTTGTTTCGTTTTGATTATTTTAATTCAATGATACATTTGTTTATATTTATAGTTTTCAATATAACATTTTTTTGTAATAACTGCATGTCCTTTTTTGTGCCCCAGAACTGTACCTCCTGATTAAAGTAAAACATTGATAGTTTTGGTAACAGCTTGTTGTTCCAACCAGCGGCTGCCAGGCAGGATACGCCCACATTTTCGAGAGATGGATAGAAAACAAGCTAAAACGAAAGTGATTTTTCCTACAATCAAGGGCCATAATTCAGGAAATTACAATTCGATATGCGCAAATATCGACAGGAACCAAGATCTTTGAGTTTTAAACTTACATTTCAAGTTTCAACAAAATCGGATAAAAATTGTGACCTCTATAGGGTCCACAACCTTGATATACCATATTTTTACGCTATTTGAGAACGAAGGGCGGCCATTTTATCTGTCAGTTTTTGGCCGATTTTCACGAAATTCGAACTCAGTCGTCCTTAGGGTGTAACGGTGATATAATAATATGATTTTTTAAATCGGATAATAATTATGACCTCTATAGGGTCCACAAGAAAAAAACGCGTTTTTGCGTACAATCAGGGGCCATAATTCATGAAGTTACGGTCCGATATGCGCGATTATCGAAAGGAACCGAGATCTTTGGGTTATAAACTTACATTTCAAGTTTCATCAAAATCGGAAAAAAATTGTGACCTCTATAGGGTCCACAACCTTGATATACCATATTTTTACGCTATTTGAGAACGAAGGGCGGTCATTTTGTCTGTCAGTTTTGGGCCGATTTTCATACGTTTAATGGTGATATAATAATACGTTTTTTTAAATCGGATAAAAATTATGACCTCTATAGGGTCCACAAGCCAAAAAACGTGTTTTTACGTACAATCAGGGGCCATAATTCAGGAAGTTACAGTCCGATATGCGCGAATATCGAAAGGAACCGAGATCTTTGGGTTATTAACTTACATTTCAAGTTTCAACAAAATCGGATAAAAATTGTGAACTCTACAGTGTTCACAAGCCAAAAACGTGATTATTCGTACAATCAGGGGCCATAATCCATGAAGTTACGGTCCGATAGATGCCAATATCGAAAAGAACCGAGATCTTAGGGTGATTAACCTATATTTCAAGTTTCATTGAAATCGGATAAAAATTGTGACCTGTAGACTGTTCACAAACAATTGTGGACGGACGGACGGACGGCCAGGGGCGGCGACAATATACGTCCACATGAAAATGTGGGCGTATAAAAATGACAGTCAAAATAAATTCTGTCTATGCACATTTCTTTGCAGTCAGATTAAAACACACAAAAATCACACCAGTTTATCCCAGTAACTTCCGACTGACCCTGGACTTGACAATAGTATTCCATCTCCTATCTTTTGCAAATAAAATTCTGGATCTCAAAGATCTTGTTCTAAAGTTCCATGTCTTTTACTATATGGACATTTTATTTCTAGAAGCCCATAAGGGTCTGCTGCAGTTGGATCGAAAAAAAATTTCCGTCGGGGCTTGCTCCAAGATATGGATATGTTGGACTTATACACAAACTTGCATCGAATATTAAAAAACCTGCATCGAATATTAAAAAAACTGTCTTCTGCATATTATAGTTGTAAAATATCTTTTGCTGTACTCAGTTCGTTTCATATCCCCCTAGACATTTTTATTCGCTTGAATAAGTTGCCAAAATTGGACGCAGTCATTCTAACTTTATGTTGATTAACCCACTCTAAACATTCACTTTGTAAAACTGTTCTCTTTTCCAAACTAATAGCATCCTCGACAGAAATCAAAATACTATTAAGTAAAAATCGAAGATTTTATTATCTCATAGAATCGTGATGTCGGGAAATGCTGAAAACGTATGATGTACGGATTCAATTGGCGCAGGTTGGTTGGAAAAAAAACTTAGGTGGTTCTCTGCCAATGTCTGATGTGACAGACAGAATCCACAGGTATGTAGCCAAACACGATATCAACAAATGTGGGTGCTTGGTCAAGTAATAAATATGAAAATGGAGGTGGGGGGGTCTTTATTCTTATGATCGTTCACGGTACATGGGCAAATATATGGCCCACTTTTAATCCACAATTTGCATCATTAGACCTTATCCCTCTCAAACCCTGCCATACTCA